TCGATTAGACACGTGGATTTCGGGGACGAAATCCCAAATAAGGGGGGGTGAACTTGTAACACCGTCCCCAAATGTATTTATTTTTAAGAGTATAATGTATTGAACCTTACGGAATGGTTAAAGAGTATACGAAGTTGTGAATTTTTAATATTTCTTTTGCGCAAATAGTAAATTCGCACGCGGGACCCACACTGGGAGCGGGGCCGCCCGATATTCCCGAGACCGTATATTTTATCCAACTTGGTCGAAATAATATTTATATAGAGGGGGATAATTTACTTGGTCCAAAGCAATGACATAATGTGGACCGATTGGTCAAAAGCGGCTCAATTATCGGTATTGGTGATTTAACGGATAATAGCCCGAAATTGGATTTCGGAGACCTATAAATTAAAGTTGGGGAATGTACATTCATTATAAAGGGTATAATGATTAAGAACACATAATATATTTTATTTGACCCGATAAAGTAAAATACAGTTAAAACAGTCCGAAAAAATACAACTTTCGGGACCGATTGTACACATTGGGACACAAAGGGATGACCTCCCACATGAGTGGGGGCCATCCCACGTTTTTTTGTGCTAGAATGGACAAGGGGGAGCTGGGTTGACAAGAGGATGAGTGGAGGAGGTGCAAAGGGACCCTTTGACCTCACTCATTGGCCATTTGAGACAAAACCAAGTCTCACAACCCATCCCCCCTACCATATTTCGGCCATCACAAGGAAAAGAGAGAGATAGGAAGCTCTTCAACCCCATACTCCATAGCTAATTCGAGCCCAAGCAAGGAAGTTCCAAGGAGGGAGATTAAAGGGAGAAAAAGGCTAGGAAAAGTGAGAAAGATTAAGGTAATGACCTTGTATTAACTTTTCCTTTATTTTTCCCCTACCCTATGAGGTACATATCTTATGGAGAACCCTTGAGGTTGTTCTACATGTCAATAGTGTGGAATAATGGGTTGGGGAGTAGTTCTAAGTCCAAGAACGGACTTAGAAGCCAAACCGACCGGTTCACCGGAAAATAACCTTTTAAGGGTTATGTGTATTGATTAAGGTTTTATGATGTTAAAACCTTGTTAGGAACTTGATTTAGAGTATCTTTGAGCTTCGCCGGAGTTTCGCCGGAGTTGGTCAAAGTTGGCCGGAGTTGGTCAAAGTTCACCGGAATTAGTCAAAGTTCAACCGCGGAGCGTAGAACACGCTTAAGCTCACTTAAGGTGAGGATGACCGACTATATTGCTTATAATTATTGGGTTAATTTCATAAGATTACCTAAATGAATTATATGTGTTTGGCATGATTTATTTATAGTACAAAAATGCCTAAATGAGATTTTTATTGTTTATAAGCAAAAATGCATAATATACAAATTTATGAATAAATTGTGTATGATTATGTGTTATGAATACAATGGTATAATAGTTGTGTAAACTATAAACCAAATTGTGATAAATATACTTTTACCTCATGTAAGGAAGTCATGGAAGGATAAAAGTGATATTTTGATATTAGAGCCAAGTTGTACTTGAATGTGGAATTTAATTGAGATATTCAAATTATTATGAACTCAAGTTACATTTGGAGTAGGCCTTAAGGGTTACTCAAAATGGATGGAACCTAGACTAAGAAGTGGTTTAGGGATTAGTTGACGTGACTATGAGCCGAGCTCTAGCACGTGGTAGTATGACTATGAGCCGAGCTCTAGCAAACGTAGGGTGACTATGAGCCGAGCTCTAGCACAAATTAGTATGACTATGAGCCGAGCTCTAGCAAACGTAGGGTGACTATGAGCCGAGCTCTAGCACAATTTAGTATGACTATGAGCCGAGCTCTAGCAAATGTAGTGTGACTATGAGCCGAGCTCTAGCACAATTTAGCATGACTATGAGCCGAGCTCTAGCATGAAGGAACGTGAGTTAATTATAAGTGAATAACATCCTAGATTGAGGGTCTTGGAAATTGAAACTTTGATTATACTTAGTATAGTTGTCATTGTACTTGTCAAATGCTTCCAAGTACTGACCTCCCCTTCACGGGGGAGGCCACCTCACAGTTTCAGGTAGGGAGTAAAGCTTGCTGCCATCACCGTTGCTCGGGTAGGATCCAAGAAGAGGAGACGTGGTTCGTGCCTCTTCAGATTCCATTTTTCAAACACTTTAATTAATGCTCATGGATAATGTTTTTCTATTGAATATTTAATGGGGGCTTGTATGCCCATGTTTGCCAAAGTGTGGCATGAACACTTGTACCAAATGTTTCCGCTGCTTCGAATGAATATTTTACATTATGTTTGTTTATGGATGTACTATGCGTGAATGATATCCCAGACGCCTAGTATAGTATGAATGTGTTGGACTGCGGTTGACTATTCGTACTGTACGGCGGATTGTTGGCGTGTCCGGATAGGTCCGGGGCGTGACAGGCGGCCAGTAACCCCACGGGGGCATTTGCCACGGGTTGGCAGTTTGGGGTGCCGCTGGAGAACCGGAGGGACGGTTGCGACCACCACGTGAGGAGCCACGCCCCCTGCCGCGGTTTTGATGACGGCCAGGTTGAACATCCGGCCGTGGCACAACAACTGGAGGACCGGTATGAACCAAGGGAGTGGGTGAGGAGTTGTTTTGTTGAGTCTTCCGGGTTTCCTCCAGAAGGAGCATCGATCGGGCCTGGGAATATGGAGGAAGAGGGACGGTTTGTTGAATGAGAGAAGCAACCGAGTCATAGGCCGGAGGGAGGCCATTCACAATACGCAACACCAAGCGTTGATTATTGACGGGAGAACCGACGTTGGACAATTTCGTGGCCAGAGTTTTGAGAGCCTTGCAATATGAAGCAATGTTAGGGAAGCTCTCCAACCGGGTATTAGAAAATTCGGTTTCGAGATGCAGCGCCCGAGTATTTTTGTTGTCAAGAAAAAGATCAGCCAAGCGATCCCATGCGGCTTTGGCAGTAGAATCCGGCTCGAGAATAGTGTGTAAAAGATCATGAGATATAGTCCCATAAATCCATTGTAACACCATGGCATCGAGTCGTTTCCAAAGAGCCTCAGATTCGGCTTTTGCGGCGGCGGCGGCAAGAACTTGCTCTGGAGTTTGTTCTGGAGGTGGGTTGGTGGAAGTGGAAGCGGTCGAGGTATCTGTTTCAACAGGAAAAATGTGATCTTCAACCTGGTAGGCACGGGTTGTGATCTTAAAAAGTTCAGTCCAGGAGGAGTATTCCACATTCTCGAGATCGAGGGTAATTGGAATAAAACTTTTTATGTTGGTGAGAGCAAGAGCTGGGTGAAATGATGGGGATTTGGCGGAAGCCATGGGAGGAAGAAGAGAGTAAGCGTCTGATACCAAATTAGAAGATTGGAATTCAACGTGACAATCTTATTCCCTTCGTGCCGTTTAAATACAATTGCTAAAGAGTCCAGATATCACACACTAACTGACTACCGATTAGCTAAAGTCTATCGCGTTACATGCGCTATGATTGAGCTGTGCAATTAATCAAGTTACAACAACAATTCAAATAATTTTGAATATACTATAATAAAGGAACATAATACGGAGAGTTGATAGTGCAATGCATGTGGACGGTTTTTGTGAAGTCCATGCATGTGCCATGCATGCGTTCTTCCGAGACTCTTGGAGGCCATGCATGTGCCATGCATGCGTGTGTTAACAGTCAGGATTAGGCAATGTTGATCGGGGCGGGTATGGGATGGTGTTGACCACGGATGAATATAACCCTAAATACTCCCAATAAGAATATCTTGGCTAAAACTGGACACATTACTCCAGGACCCAGGTGTAAGAAGCAAAAACCTTCCATATGTGCCATTAGGGGTGGACCCGGTCCAATCTCGAACCGGGCAGTCCCGGTTTTTCAAACTTGAGACCAGAACCGACCCAGAATAGTGCGGTTCCCGGTTTTGGTCCGCTACCTGGATGGTCCTGAGCTGGTTCGAACCCAATTCCCCACCCAAGAATTAAAAAACCCCGTTAGGACCGGAACCGAGACCACCCGGCCCGATCCCCAAATCCCCTACTCGAGACCAAGACAACCCCCACCCTGTTCAGTCCAGCACAATGGCGGGTCCAGTTCTGGTCTGGGACCACCGACCGGGTCAATCCCGATGTGTCATGTAATAATCCATGGTAGCACATGTTTAAAAATGTCAAAAAGAGTTTTGGAGCCCACTTCAAGCCTCCAAGCAGGGGCATAGCCAGGAGTAAGAGTTGGGCTGGACCGATACAAAGGATTTTTACAGAAATTTTTACATTAAAAATACAAACAATTTTAAAATTTGGCCTGGACCATGACCCGGTTGGCCACCCCTCCACCTCCGCCCCTGCCTCCGGGCAAAACAATTCTATCTATAAAATAATCCCAAATTAGGCTCGATCTTTGGGCATTGATAGAAAATATGGTTAGCACAAATCGATTCTAGCCTGCAAAAAGGGCACTGAGAGGGGATAATAACAAAAAGGGTACTAAAAGGGAATAATAGAGATATTGAATCTCCACATGAAAAAGTTGATTAGTACACACTGCTTAGTGGGGCAAATGCGTCTATATGAGAAGGTAACTGGCTATATTTGACTACTTGAAATAAAATTACTATTATAAATATAATTACAAATATAATTTCAATTATAATTATAATTACAATTTACAAATATAATTATCCCCTCCGTCCCGCAAAATAGTTCCCGATTTCCTTTTTGAGCCGTCCCAAAAACTAGTTCTCATTTCTTTTTTTGAAAGGTTTTGTGTGCCTTACATTCATTTACATTTTTCTTACTCAACCACAATCATACATTTCCACTTTATTTACATTTTCTTAAACTCCAATTCAACTCAATGCGGGAACTATTTTATGGGACACAAGGAGTATAATTATAATTACAATTATAATTATAACTAATAACAATCTAATAATAAAAATAAACACTCAATCAAATCAAATCAAAAAATTTGAGATCAGAACAAATTAGAATATTTCAGATCAGGTCAAATCAAATTTTAAAAAAATAGATTAGAAACATTCAAATTGGGTCAGATCAAGAAAAATTCAGATCGGAACAGTTTCTTAAAACCAACTTTTTTTGGCGAAGCCACATTAAACCTACTTGAAAATGGTTTTTTGTGGGGGAAAAAGATACTTAAAAGAACTATCAGCTCATTAGCGCACTCTTGCCAAAATCTAGTCATATCATTAATGTCTTCTCAGCCATCAATCTTGTATATACACACACCTTGAAGCTGCAAAGCCAGCAACAGTCTTTCTCAATACATAAAATACAAAAATACCGAACATCAGCATCACTACCTTCTTCAATGCCAGCACCCTAAGGTTCACCTTCAACCCAAGCGGTCTCAAGAACTTCCCAACGTACCCACATAGAGTACCAACCCAAGATAAGACAGCCCTAAAGACCAATTTAATCATTTCTACAGGTCCATACATCTCCCCTGTATCACTTGGCAACACAACGTATGAAGACCGAGGGTTTTGGTGGGACCCGTCAGCCACATTCAGCCCCAAACTCTCATTAATCCAACCTGATATCCATACGAGCAGCTTTGCAAGCCATACGATTTCATCACCTGAGACAGAACGCTTTATGGGCACTGTTTGGATTGTGTAACCTCTCGGCTTGAAAATTTCGTCATATGTTGGCTTGGCCATTGTCGTCATCCCAGAGCTGCTGAACTTTTTGGAAGTAGTACCACACAAGTGTCCTAACTGGGATTTTAGTGTGTTTAAGCACTCTATGTTTTGTGCAACATTGTCACCGCGCAGCACTTGTAACTCGGATTCTGCTCGCAACACAAAGAGCTGCAAGAGGGGAGAGAGGGATTATGATTTTCATTTTTTATTTTCTTTTTGACCTTTTTTTAATCAAAACTGTTCTAATATTATTGCTGTTATACATATACATTGTTACTAGTTTACTAATTTTTTTATTACAACAAAATAATATCAAATATCATATTTTATACCCCTCCGTAATAAAACATGATTTAAGAACTTTTGTTCCAGAATAGGGGTCCAGTTTTAAAGGTCAAGTTTAATACTCAAGTCAAGCCAAGTGGAAAAAGTTAGTTAAGTAATGAACAATATTGGAAATAAGTTTATACTTTAGGTGTACAAGTAGTGATCATTTTATTACCTATAAATGCTTGTACCTTAATTGAGTTAACTATAAATAATAAAACTCTACCATAGTAAAAAATGACTTATTTTTACCCGAGGGAGTATTTTCCGAAAATAATAATTCATCCTCACTCCTCCATTGAACCAAACATAGTATCTTTTCGCTCTTCTATTTCACTAATTCACTCCCCTCCCATCCTTTGAACCAAACAAGGCTAAAAGAAGCATGGAATAACAAGTTTCAGATCATCTCACTGATAACCTGAAGTAACTCCAGTCCACCATCTTCAGCATCACTGAAAAGTTTCAAGTCTTTGTTCCAGTTTTCACGCAAAAATGAACCATCAGCATCACTCTCACACAGGCCATCCTCCCAGTCCTGAAATATAAACAACTCAAATCTTATTCATACATATTTGTGTTTGCTTACTACATAATGTGGGAAATTTTGAGTTCGGTTTGATTTATTTGGTCTATAGTTTGATTTGGTTTAAAACGAATTGGGGAAATGATATCAAAACCAAACTTTTTTTTTCTTCAGATATAGAGCTTTTGGTTTTAACTGAGGTCTTGTTGTGTTTATTTGGTCAGTTACAAATTTTGTCATAGGAGTAATACAGTTCTGGATATAGCATTACCAAACTAAACATTAGGTTCAGCATAAATTGGTATGAAATTGATAAAAATCGAACGAAAATGCCAACCGCTATGTGTGAATCAATGAATGTTTAATATTTTCTCAAGAAGCACATACCATAAAAAAGAACACAACATACCTGTAACTGTTCACGAATTGCAGGTACAAACCTATGTAAGGTGTTAAGCATCGATTTGGACGGTCCATAAGGTTTCAAATGAAAAACAATGTCCACATTTTTCATTAGGTCCAGGAGCTCCACAGAGGAGGTCAATATGTTCATCACCTGCATACACACAAAAACTTTTTAATGACTAAGCCCTTTTGTAAGCATAGAACCAATTTAAGGAGTGTAAGTCTGTAACCATCAGTTTACATATTGAAGTGGAAAATACCTTCACATCAATTGTACAAAATATTTAGTGCAAATGAATTGGGTAAAATATATTGAAACTAAAAATTCATGCAAAAAGCATAAAGTTGTTCTATGTGGGATGCTATTCCTGTAGAAACCTTCAAAAGGAATTGTGACATGAAAATTCTGAAACATCATCATCATAGGTTATTTCTAGATGCATGGAAGATATTATAGATGGTGTGACTTGAGAAGTTTACTTGTAATATTCTATCAAGATTGATGTGTCAATATGTGTGTACCGTGGAATACTTTGATCATGTGGAATACAAAAGTAACAATGGTGTTCGAGGTTTGTGTAAAAAGAAAATAATACAACTAAAACATCCAAGCGCTAGTCCCAAAACAGATTGGGGTCGACTAAAAAAAGAAAAATAATATTAAGCAAAAGGTAGTTATGTGGCAAAGATTTAGGTATGCACCAAATAAGAAAAATGTGAAAGTTTAGTGCGCCAGAGGTAGTATATGATTCCAAAAGAAAGTAAATATATTTCAATCTTGTTTGCATTTTCTATGGTTAAGTGAGACACAAAAAATAACTTCCCATGGCATTTTATCCCCATTCCGTGACAGTTTCCATGAACCAATTTTCCTTCAAGTGAAACATGAATGTCTTAATTAAAAATGCATGTACTCAGAGACAGCATGCTTGTACCACTGGGAGTTGGGACCAATATTATGCATAGTTGTCATGGCACATGATGGTGATCGCCATGGCTAAAAGGCATTTTTCATGGCGCATGGCGATGGCACATATTATCTTTTTATATTAGCTAATTTTTTTTTTTCTTTCTTTTCCTTTTGATGGTGATATCATGTATCGATTCATGTTAGCCGACCCCAATATCTTTTGGGACTAAGGCTTGAATGTTGTTGTTGTTGTATGGCGATGGCACATATACGAATGGTGCATATGGCGCTATGGCGATGACACATATACGAATGGCGCATATGGCGCTATGGCGACGGTCACTTTCTCATGGCGATGGCGCATATGGCGCGCGCCATATCTCGCCATTGACTACTATGATATTATGACAATGAAGAAACATGCATTAGTGGCATGTTCATCACTCAAGATCAAAATAAAAGATTCTGTCGAATTTCAATGGAAGACTGATAATAACATCAATAAACCTTTGAAACCATTTGAACAATCAGCTCTGGATCTGTGTGAAGAAACTTGTGCGCAAAACCAATAAAATGCATCGCCAGAGAGCTGTAGAACAAGTAGTTAGCCAAAACAAAACCCCGCCAAGCAGATGAATATCTATGTGATAATGACTGGGTTCCATGCATTTGTACAATTTTAGTGGGCATGCCCAAACATGAATCCACCTCAGTGAACTCTTCCAAACTGTTCGCCCAGGGTTCTAGATAATTAACCCAAAGAGTAAACACTTGAGATGCATTTGATACAGAACATTCCGCTGGGCAGAACAAAAAGGTCCTCAATATAAATCTGTATAGAGGCCTCTGAATCAATGTTCCCCAAGAACTCATAGTTTGGACCTCCAAAGAAGCATCCCTTGATTTGGCAGTGCCAAGTGAGGCGGGTAGTCTCTGTGTTGGACTCTCAACACATTCTGCCTGATCAGCACCATCAGTGAGTGGGAGAGAGTTCAGATTTAGATACTTGACAAACACGCTCACCACCTCACCTAACCCAGAAGTTGGAGGAGTCTCACCCGAAAATGAACGAAAAGGGAGCACCACACCAAACGATTTGCACAAACTCACAGGCAGTGGCGAGAAATCATTGTCCACTAACCAGAAGTGTATCACTGAATTCACCAAAAAATTTGCCCGTTCAACAATGCCCTCATCATATGCTGTGGAGTAATGGAGAAGTGAGCTGCGATAAGGTTGGTGGGTATTCAAATCATGCATAGGTACATACACATGAAGATATGCATACAATACACGCATATAGAGATTTCCTTCAATTTTCTTCTCGGTTGTGCGCTTTGTGCTCGACAAACCTGGAATTGAATAAGCCCAATTTTCCAGCCTAAATCTTTTGCTTCTCTTAATTCTAACAGTCTGTGGTCCCTCACTGTTACCCCTGCAAACAGGGTAATATGCAAACCAGAACATAAAATACTCGAAAATATTCAACTGAACCTGAAAACAACCCTTTGCTGAATCCTCCTTCAACCTATTCCTGAACAATGGACACAGGTCAGCCAAAAGCTGAACATCTCTCTCATTCTGTAGAAGATACCGAGCCCATTCTGGCAACCGCTCAACAGGAAAAACATATTTAACCAGAGATAAAGCATCAGCATTCACAATTGATGATAGCAATACACTATTTGGAGATAGTAATCTGAAAATCCTGCCTGTAAAAAAGTAAATACATAGAGATAAACATCAGCAGAGGCAAAATTGACTGAAAAGCTACACAGATGTATAGAGTGAACTATCATCAGAACAAGTAAAAATCGCAGCTCAGCATGTATAAGCTAAAAAGTGTAGTGATTGAGAAGAGAAGTAGAGAACGTTCCATTTAGGTAGACATGACAGGAACGGAACAGTGTTCGGGAGCATACCTGCAAGCTCGGAATCGTTAGATAGAGAGGCAACATCGATCCATCCAGATGGCGAAAGAGACTTGTGATCTACCGGCGGCGTGTCGTCGAAACCGAACACTTTACAAATTAGGGTTGGGAAAGTGATGGAGAAGAAGCAGCGGGTCTGGTCTGCGGTGTACAAATGGAGAAAAGAGTCTACCTCCGCACAGGCGGCCACGATCTGCGACGGAGAAGAAGCGCCGAGAATGAGAGTGGCCAAGTCGGCGGCCTTCGTCTGAGTGGCCGTAGGATAGGAGCGCGAAAACATCTGAGCGCAAGTAGAAGTCAAGGAAATGGAATGAACTGATTGATACTTGGAAGGTTTATCTGAGGTTTTGAATGGGAGAGACGATGGACTCGAATGGCGCCTTTCCAAACACGAAAATACGGACGGAGTATATTCGACTTCGAGAGGGTGAAAATGGAGTACTATCTCGAAGCAGGAGATGACTCTACGTGGCAGTTCAGACGGTAAACAATACAGGTGATTGGATCATATCACTTTATCTTTTTTAATTTAGATTTAAATAATTCAACTGCTACATTCTCATTTATCCATGTGAACAAAGGTATGGTACCTTATGGGTACCATAGAATCTACCAAATATATAAGCGTAAAATAAAGATTATTTATCAAAATATACGACCTAAGTTGTCATGAATTTTTATTTTTTAACAATAAATAAATACTCCGTATTATTTAGTTTTATTAAATTAATAAACTTTTGTGAAGAAAAAATTATTAAATATTAGCAATGGAATAATTAAAATAAATAAATAAATCAAAGCTTATAAAATGTTAAGCCCTAGATTGATAGTATTTCATCATTCGAGCCTTATATTGATATATTAATCTTTTAGGTTTCGAATTGATATATTAATCTTTTAGGTTTCGAATTGATAATTCGTTTATCCTTCAGGTCCCAGATGGACTATAACTCTATAAGGGAGTGTTTGCAACTGCTTAAAAAAAAGCACTTCTCAGCTTTTGGCTTTAAAAAGCACTTATTTACCAAACACTACCAATTTTTACTTTTTCTCGGCTTGCGTGTGAAAAGTGCTTTTCCCTTTTCTATTACACAAAAAGCACTTATTTTACCAAACACTACCAACTTTTACTTTTCAAAATCACTTTTTTCTCAAACACTATCAACTTTTACTACCAATCACTTTTTCATTACTTCTCCAAAAGTGCTTTTTTTTAAGCAGAAGCAGTTGCAAACACTCCCTAAGACACACTATTCACCATTCTCATTTTGATTATTTGTCACAATATATTATTTATCACAATATATTTTTCCAATTTAATTATTTGTATATTATTAAATTGGGAAAAGGGGCAAATAAGCTCTCGAACTAATTAAAAAATGCAAATCACCCCTTATATTGAAGGTTCTGTCCGGCCATCGCCATTTGGGCGGTTCCCGGTGAAATTTTTTGATTAATTTTTTTTAGAATTTTCTTCATTAAATCTAGTTTATCCATATCAAATTTCAACTAAAAATAAAACCAGGAAGGTAGTCAAATAATTTTCTGAAACATGCAGCGCTATTTAACTACGCAATTATCTTCAAAAATCATTTGACTGCTTTCCCGATTGAATTTTTATCTAAAATTTGGTATGGATAAACTAGACTTAATAAATAAGATACTCAAAAAAATCATCAAAATATTTCACCGGGAACCTCCCCAAGTGACGACGGACATACAGAGCCTCCTATATAAGGGGTGATTCACATTTTTTTTGTTAGTTCGGAGGCTTATTTGCCCCTTTTCTCTACTAAATTTGTATATATTCGTAACTACAGTCCAATAATAATAAGATAAATACATGCAATGTGACCAAATTAAATACTACGTAGTTTCACTCTACAATGTCATTAAAAGGTCATCTCCATGAAATTCATTGTTGACGTCTTCTAGAAAGACACTTTTACTTTGAATTGAAACAAATTTAGGAATACCTCATTTATATGACGAAAATTTTTTGGTGTACACAAATGTGTACACCTTTTGTGTACATTTGTCTGTCCTTCGCAGACAAGTTGTCTATTACAGACAATTCATATTAAGTTGTCTGTGACAGACAACTTGTCTGTGAAGAACAGACAAGTGTACACAAAATGTGTACACCTAGCAAAACTCTTATATCACCCTACGAACTGTTCATGAAGCCGGCATTTTCATAATTGCCTCTCTAGAATTCTCTCGGCGGGAATACTATACAAAAAGAGAGTTATGCTATAGAATTATAGACACCCAAAAATGGGGTATTCCGTTTTTACCCCACCCTGATGGATGGCCATAAATGGGGCAACTCATTTAAGTGGTGTCCCACTTAAATGAGTTGCCCCATTTATGGCCACCCATCAGGGGGGGTAAAAATGAGGTATCACATTTTGGAGTACCTTTAGCATTTTACACAAAAACTTTTGCTTGAGACTCTGTACAAGATATATTGATGATTGTACTAAATGACTAAGAAGTTGTTCTCTTCGTCGGATCTGAATGTTTTTTATCTGAATTTATTAAGTTCTGATCTGATCTGATCTGAATTTTTCGGATCTGATCTGAATCTTTCTGATCTGATCTGAATCTTTCTGATCTGGTCTGATCTGATCTGAATCCTTCTGATCTGATCTGAATCTTTCTGATATGATCTGAATATTTCTTTAATTATAATTATAATTGTAAATATAATTTAAATATAATTTATAATTATATTCATAATTCTAAAAATAATTAATTATAATTCTAAAAATAATTAATTATAATTATAATTATAATTAAAGTTATAAAAAATTATACCTACTACACTGATTATAATTATAGCTATAATTATAATTGTATATGGAGTAATAACTATAATCATAGCTATAGTTATATAATTGTTATATAATTATAATTACTGTGTATAACAATAAAAATAAATAATAATAATAATAATAATAATAACAATAATAATTATAATAATATGGAGTAATAATAATAATAATAAAGCTAATAATAATAATAATAGTAAAAATAGTAATAATAATAATGATAATAGCAATAATAGCAATAATAAAAATAACAACAATAATAATAACATCAACAAAAACAATAATAATAATAATAATAATAACAACGGCAATAATAATTATAATAGTAATATAATAATAATAATTATTATAATAATTATAATATATATAATACGAACTGAACAGCTTCTAAATCTGACGAATTTTCCGATTTCTTTTCAATTAGGAGACCATGGGGCTTTGGGAGTTTGGGATCACCAAGGAGTTTATTATTTTTCCGATATCTGTTTCCATTGTACTGGGCAGTGGGATTACTGAGGATTCCTTTTTTATTTTTTTTAGTATTTGCTTCTAGTTAGCCAAAGCAAATTCATCATAATTAGATATCTATCACTAATTAAAAGCAAAAGCAAATTAAAGATGTACAAGACATATAAGGCAAATAAGAATAGGAAAGTGGTATGTCACTTCCAGTACAAGACACATAAGGCAAATAAGAAGGATTTTGTAGCAAATGCTTGGATGAAAAGTAAACTTGGATTACTTCTTTTTTTTTGCACTTGGAATACTTCCAATCAAAACAAACTGAAATATTAGGAAGGTTTGCAGTTACCAAATTTATTAAAATACATTCTTGCAGATTGGAAGCAAGATTAACATATTAATGGCATGCAACATCTAGTTTGGTGGCAACTGCAAGTCTAAATTATTGGATAAAAAAACGCCATATAATGCAACCGATGTAAATAGAGAGATTCCCTGCCAGTTTTCGAGGTCCAAAAATAGCCTTCAAGTATTATTAATAAATAGTAACAACTGGAAGACAGAAGTAGATGCAAAAGGTAAATGGTAGCAATTTTGTGGTTTTGTTATTCTTACTGGAGGAGGGGTGCAAAGAACGTGTTTATTATACAAGTCCATAGTATGGGCGTGTACTGATGTGAGTGATGATGGATGTGGCAACAAATGAATCTACAAAGGCTTCACGTTCATAGAATGGCTACAGATAAGCTACACCTTTGTATTATGAAAAAATAAAAAACAAAATGAAAGATGGGCCGGCTCTACTTTTCGATCACAGCCTAGCGGTCAACAGCTGTTGCTTTAGGAGTGGCCTAATGTATTCATGAAACCCATCAGGCACAACCGAATCATTTAATGGGTCTTTCCAAGCTTCTTCATACAGCTTCGGGTACACATTTCCATCATAACGTCCTAGAACCGACCCGAGGAAGTGGTCGGTGTAGTTAAACGCGTCCACGAGTGCAATAGCATTAGGGCGGATCTATAGATAATTATCATTGAAAGCACTAGGATCAGGAGAGTAAGAACTACAAAGGTATGTTTGTACATGGCATTGGACTGAAAGGAGAATTTGATGTAGGGCCAACCTGTGTGTACAATGATCTCAGCTGATCATTGGCGAGTGAGGCTTGCTTTGGTGTGATGTAATTGGTGGAAAGGAAGTCTCCTTGGTGTTTATGGAGAAGATGGAGGGAGTAGATGGCACAAAGAGCCTCCAGTTGCTGCCTCACCCCCCTCCCTGTGATGTCCTGCTGCAATTTTTCTATAAACCTGGAACAAACAAATGATCACTGGAGCCAACCTTAACATGTGTGCGAGCGTGTATGTAGGTAGGTGAGTTTAATTTGGAAGGGGCTGGAAATAAAGCTTACTTGGAAACGACAATTAGTTGGCAGTGAGCAACTGCTGCTTCTACTAAATCAGCAGAGAGCTCCGTAAAACCTGGCAAGATAATAAATGTGGACATATAAGAAAGAACTTGTCCCTATTATCATTAGTCAGCTGAGGGGACAAGTTCAAATTGCATGATGACTCTTTTTGAGTATGTTCTTCATCAAGTCTAATTTATGCATACCCATTTTTTCCTAAAAATTCAACCGGGAAGGCAGCTAAATAAATTCTTTACAAAAATTGTGCTATATATATATATACATATATATATACATATACATACATACATATATATATATACATATACATACATACATACATACATATATATATACATATAAACAGTGCATTTTTTTCCAATAATTTATTTGACTGCCTTCCCGATAGAACTTTAAGCTGAAATTTGGTGGGCAATGGGCATAAATTAGACTTGATGATTAACATGCTCAAAAAATTTCATAAAAAAATACTACCAGAAACGGCCCCAAATGCCCTGGGCCGTACGGCGAGTCCTGTCAGACCACCCTGATAGGATCGCTACTCAGTACGTACATACTTACATACACACATATATAAATAATACAAAATAAAAGGAATCAAATTCGCAAATCTCTCAACTGAATCAAATGTTTTAAGGTTAGCTTGGGAACATTCTTCTTTATGCTTTACATTTTCCGTTTTTAAAAAATTGTTGCATGTGGTGTGCACTATGTATGTGTGTGCCCATGTGTGCATGTGTGTTTATAT